GTGTGGGGACGTGATCCCGCATATCGTTTCGTCGAATAGTTTGAGGTCGCCCGGTTCCTTTGGTCCCGAGCCATCGAGTTTGTAAACTCGAGAAACTTTCCGGATCAACAGCTGCCGCGGGACATCGATACGCGAAACTTCGGAATATGCTTCTTGTAACATTTATGATGCATCGTCTGGTCGGCCTGTCGCTTCCCGCCTCCTGCCACCGGTGTTATACCCTCTTGGCTTTCCTGTAGCCGGCACCGAGGTCCGTTTCAGGCACGATTGAGTCTTCTGTCCGAGGATTTCGTATTTTTGGGATTTCTTGGGAGTGGAGCGATAGTGACTGGTAATTGAGAATTTTGACGAGGATTTGGCTTCTGAGGACCTCTTGATATTGGAATGGTGATAACTATGAATTTGATAATTGAGAATTTTGACGAGGATTTGGCTTCTGAGGATCTCTTGACATTGGAATCGTGATAACTGAAAGTTTGATAATTGAGTTTTCTGTCGGAGAAGGATTTCATATTTTTGGGATTTCTTGGTAGTGGAGTGGGGGCGATAACTGATAATTGAGTCGTTTGATGAGGATTTGGCTCCTGAGGACCTCTTGATATTGGAATGATGATAACTATGAATTTGATAGTTGAGTGTTCTGTGCGAGGAAGGATTTAGTATTTTTGGGTTTCGTAATACTGAACTTGGAGCAGTAATGACTATAAGTTTGACAAATTGTTCTTCTTTGGCTTTGATATTTATCTGGGTATTCAAGAGTGAATTATAATTAATGTTCTCCTTAGAACTAGGAGAAAGTACTACTTAACGAACGACTACTAGAAAAGATGGATCCTAAAATATTCTCAGTTTATCTATAAAATATTTAAGAATAAATTTTATTACACAGATTAAATGGCATTGTCGCACGATATTAAAACGGAAACGAATTGTTCTGTTGCAGAACGAGAAGCTGGAGGTGAAACAGAAATGGGCCTCGCGGCTTCTAGGCAAGTTACGAAAGGATATCACGCAGGAGTACAGGGAGGACTTCGTGCTGAGTATCACGGGGAAGAGGCCAGCCATGTGTGTCCTGAGTAATCCTGATCAGAAGGGCAAAATGCGTCGGATCGATTGCCTGCGTCAGGCCGACAAGGTGCGTCTGATCACCACTCTTCCTAATCCACTTACCACAAACCTCCCTTCTTCGCAATTTCCTAATCCCCTCAACATTAACCCTTAGCACTCCAGGTTGTTTTATAATCTATCAGCAACTGCGGCTAATTTTTATGGTATTTCTAGTGAAAATTACAAATGCAACATTCCTTCGATCTTTCATTTTCCTTCTCAGTAAAAAATTGATGTTCGACCATTTAGATCTTGGAAATTAGGGATTTAAAATCAGGTTATTACGATACGTATTCTTGTAACTGCATCAACCAAAACCGACATAAACGTTTGCAAAGTAATGTTTATAAATTCAGTATGCATCAAATTGACGCGTTCCGTAAACCTAGTGTTACATGGTACAATTGTGATACTACAAATAAATATAGAAAAAGGTAGAGATAGCAATAAAATAGAATGTCGAGTCTGACTCGACACAGGACTGCCAAGGGTTAACCTCCACGTTCCCGACCAATGTAAATTAGATAAATCCCCGTGTACATTCTGCGCACATTATTAATGTCCATTACGCGGCACGCAAATTTCCCATGGCCCCGCGTGGTCCCGCAAGACCACAGAACCATCGGACCCACCCCAAGAAATAGTTGGACTCGATCGTTAACCGCCGTCTCGATGGACCGTTGAGAAAGTCAGGCGGAAATCGGGCCGGGTGTTCCCCGGCTTCCGGTGGTTCGTGCGGCGGCCAATAACGCCGGTGTCTGTCGTTGGTCCACAGGTATGGAGGTTGGACCTGGTGATGGTGATCCTCTTCAAGGCAATTCCGTTGGAGTCGACGGACGGGGAACGGCTTGAGAAGACTGCGGAATGCGCTCAGCCGGGCCTCTGCGTCAACCCCTATCACATCAACGTCTCCGTCCGGGAACTCGATCTCTACCTCGCCAATTTTATCACCAGTCACGGTAAGCGACCGCCGAGACTATCGAAAACACATTTCTACGTGTGCCGTTCTACAGTCCTTTGAATCGCGGGAAATTCACGTTCGCTCTCGTCCTTCGTTTAACCGTTTGAGTCCCGCCGCCTTCGCGCTCTTCGGGTTTCGTGTCGAAAACTCAGCGCGTTTCAATGATACGGACAACTAACTAAACTAACTAACAAAATTCACTATCTGGTGAAACGCGCTCAACTCAGACGCATCTACAGCGCATCGCTGCTTTTGTATAGTAATACATTTTGTATATCGTTGTTATGTATTATAAATTAACACGTTGAATGGCACACGATTTCACGAAGCAAAACGTAGGAGACGAAAAAAGATATAATATTGAATTATTGAATTAACCCTCTGTAGGCTCGTGTAACTTGTTGGTTTATTTCATTTTGCACTGGAAGCGGTGAATAAAATAAAGTAATCAGTTAACTTCAACTGTTTTACGCTCAGGCGTGAAAGTTTAAAGTCAATGTAACTTGAAAGTTACAAAATATATTCGTTTGATGAAATTATTGAAACTATTGAATACATTCTTCATTCGTATTCATATGTGGATATTTATTAATTTGGTACTACATAGATTTTGTTATGAACGAACATTGAATTAAACGGTGACTGTTTGAAAATATTTTTATATTATAAACAATGTCAGCTAATGCACTATATATATTAGTATTAACATACATGATATTAACATAGATTAAGACAAGCGCTGTCCTGCTTAGCTTTTCCCGACGCAGAGTAAAAAGAGCGCAATCGCGTCGCTCGGATCTTCTCGCGTCCCATTCAGAAAGCGCCATCGCGCTGTTCGGCCTCTTTCGAGCGTGTTTTTTGAAAAACCTCTGGTACTCAAACGGTTAAAAGAACGCGGCGATAATTATTCTTAGCCTCTTGCGCTGGGAACGAATTCAGAGATTTGGCAAAGTCTCTTGCGCGAAGAATTCTGTTTTTACCTGTTTCACGCAGACGCGTCAACTAATTTTGTTTATTAATACTTTCGTGTAGAGTGGTACGTTTCGAAATAGTCTAGTATGTAACGGAGACTATTATGATTATTTCCAAGTAATTCTGAAGCCGGTGGCTAACACGGAGCTTAACGCGTTAAATAATCTAAAGAAAATGCTTCGGTATCTACATGATCAAACGGAAGAAACTAATAATCTAATATCTGCATAATCAACTAAGAGCAACTAATCTTCCAACATTTAACACTAGAACTACCGTAACAGTAAAAACGACTGGTTCCGGTTTTCTAACCCTTTGCACTCGGCAGGTGACTCTCACCTGATTTGATACAGTAAAACTATAAAATTTGATGTTTAACATTATACCTTGTACAATGCGTCAATTTGTGAAATATTGAAATAACATAGCATTCTTCCTCAATGTACGTGTGATTTCTCTTTGAGTTAGTCTCACAAAATATCGTTTTTATCTCATCAGAGTATGTTCAAATATTTCTAGTGGAAAACTTCGGAGTGCAAAGAGTTAAAGGTGTTTTATTCGAATAGTCCAATTACTGACGCATTAGGAGGTTGACGTTACGCAGTTATAGAATCTATTTAATGTTAAACTAGTTCCTCGATACGTGAAATAGAATAAAATAGCTTCCTTCCTCAATATACTGATTTCTTCGCGTTAATCTCAAAGAATGTCTTTGCCTCAGAAAATGTTATTCCTACTAAGAAACTCCCAAGTGCAAAGGGTTAAATACTCACATCACAAAGACCAATGATCCATCCCCTAAATGCTGAAACAAGACAATCTACCATCCGAGAACCGCAACCCCCAAGACAAAGATCGACACGTAAACACACGCCAGACGATCAGATCATTTCGATGGACAGTCCACTCTCCAGAACGCCCTTCGACGACTCGCATTTGGCGGCTGTCGGGTCGTCATCTTGATCTTCAGGTCGATCATGGCCGTCTCGGCATCTCTGCGTCTCGGTTTCGTCAGGCTGACCGCGTTCATTCACCGTCCGCGCGTGTGTCCCGTCCATTCAAAGTGTCCACGCTACACTCGGCTTCGATTCAAAGTTTCTTGGAACGCTCTGCCAATTCCACCGGCCCCCATGCAACGGGGCTGTGTTCATGGCGCGCGCGGACCAGGACCGTTTCCCGCCATTTTAAACGGCCGCGGTACAAAGACCCGACGCCCGCGGTCTACATAGAACGGATCCACGGATTGGCAGACCTTCGCGAGCCCACCACCTCGACGATCGGCTTCAAGAATAGTCGATCTTGTCCACCGTCCAAGGTATTCGATCGTTTCGCGTTCCATGAGTCGATTGATTTAACCTCTCTCTCTCTCTGTCTTTGTCTCTCGCCTCGTCTGTCTATCGACTCTGTCTCTCCTTTTGGTGCGAATTCTAGATCAGATCCTAGATGAAGACGATTGGATCAATAGTACTGGGGTTTCTAGACGTTTTTTTAAGTTTCGGGATTAGGCGTGTTTGGTGAGGTGTATTTGGTTTAGTTTCTTATCGTGAGAATGTTGGACGCGTTTTGGTAATTGGTGTTATTAATTAGTTAATTGTGTTTGACGAGCACGTCATCGTAAAGCTTGACATGATACTAATTCTTTCACCGATGGATTCTTTGTTTCGCTTTGATCTTTCATTAAAATATACGTGCATTCGTCCTTCGACGAGTACACGCTCCATTTTTTATTTTATTGCGCGTAGAACCAGGTTTTTCCAACTAAATTCCACAGTTAACTGGTTAATGAGGATATGATAGTTTTAGCTGCATCAGTGATTCCTCTGGTTCAAAGCTTAAGTAATAGGAAGCAATCGGTACGGCGAAATCGGGGAACTTCGAGAGATTCGTAGATTCAAGGAACTTGCAAGTACTTTTTCGAAAATCTATCTGTTCCGACATCAATTTCTGTCTACTGGATGTCCCGGAAGTTCCCGGAAGTTTTTCAGTTTACCCCGAGCGAACGTATCACTCTTCGAAACTCCAATAATACAATTCCATAGCGCAGAGGAGCTTCTTCGTCAACCTTTCGGCTACCGATCTTAATTTCCCGAAGTGTACTATACTTCTTTCCGCTCGGTACCTATGTTACCGTATTTCTTCGCGGTAGGTAAACTCGAAATGCCTCCGGTCCGTTAAGGGTTGAACCGTAAATTCCCGTTCCGCTAAACCGCAAACTGCGTGATACATACGCGAACAGTCTGCAGTGCGACTTCAACTTTGGATTACCGTGAAGCTGCCGAGCAATTAGAGCGACTTAATTTCAATCTTTTATGCAAACTAATATTACGTTCCTCGACGTTCGAAGAGCCTTCTAGTCTTGTATCTGTACAGATAGACTTTATAATTGAAATACTTGAGAAATAAACCTTGTACAGTACCTCAATTCGATTCGTACGATAGTTTCAGTGTTAGTGCGACGAAGATTTCTGCTAATCTAAGAATAATCAATATTCATTACCCACGGATCAAAGCAAACTATTTCGCTACCAATGTATTATCATCAAATGAAGCTCCTCAAGTAGAATGGAGCATTTCGTCGCATTTCTTCGAATTGTCGATAAAATATTACCCGAGCTTAGCGAAAGTGAATAGTACGCCAGGAGGTTAACCCGTTAACGTATTTATTTTCGCTACCAAGCTCGTGTAACATGTTACTATCGGCAATTTAGAAGAAAAGTAGCAAAATTCTCCATTCTACTTCAAGCGGAAGTTTCATTTGAAGATAATACATTGACAATAGCGAAATAGTTATGTATTTTGATCTGCGGATAATGAACATTGATTGTTGTCAAATTGGTCTAGAAATCTTCATCACGAGTTTCACTCGTTGTACGGCAGGTTAACCCTTAGCGGTCCTTTCTGAACTGTGATCCAACCGACTACTTTGTTACTCATAATTTATTGGAACAAGTGAAAAATTCTAAGCATATGTTATATCTATATTTCCTTTTAAGTATAGTAGTTGATTACAGAGGAATAATGTTTGCTATGAATCCGAATGAACTGAGTAATATATATATTTGTTGAACCGCGTTGAAAATCTTCACCACGAGTCTCACTCGTTGTAGAGCAAGGGGTTAACAGACACCGACATCCGGTCGATTCGAAAAATCCCCGAAAAATCCGCTTCGAAGCGTTTCGGTCTCGGTCGATCATACGCCCGGCAGAAGTCAGACGTAAACAGAAATGGCGCGCGTTGATCGACCGTCTGATCGATCAGCTGGCAAGGAGAGGCTGTCTCGCGACTGGCAGGGTCCGCCGGTTCTTTCCGTCCGGGTTTCATCGAACTCACTGACTCAGTGGTGAAACACGTAATTTCCGTGCGCGCGTCCTGGCAACCCGGTCGCCAGGCACCGACCCGACCGTTCCCGCTGCCGAGCGCTGAGAGGAGAGCTCCCGCTGGCTACCAGAGAGAGAGGAGACTCTCGCCCGGCCGTGCGCGCGGTGTGCGGCTTGGCAGCCGGCTTTCTAATGTTTACAGCCGGTTGACGCAAAAATTGGCGAGGCCTACCGCCACCACCTACGAGAAAGAGAAAAAAACGCGCGGCTGCCAAGACATGGGGTAGGTTAGGCACTCTCCAGATGGCTCGGTTTCTTGATCTCTCATTCAGCTTCGTCGCGCCGCGCTCTTCGGCTCCGCGTCCTCTCGGATCGTCTCGATGCCTGCGCTTATCTACTCGCTGGCTGGTTCCTCGATGGCGAATCGATCGGAATGGAACGCAACAAAGTAGAGCTCGTGTAACTTTCTCGAGGAATGTGTATTCAGGAGAGATGACCTTTGTCATGTTGGACTCAGGTTTGAGAAGGATCTTTTGATGAGAACAGCGATGGGAATATTTTGTAATTAGAGACGAATAGTGAAGCTTCGAGAAGAGATGAATATGTGGATTACTACATCCCTTTAATAGGTCAATCATATGGAGACAAGCTCGTGTAGCTTTCTCGAGGAATGTGTATTCAGGAGTAGAGATGACATTCTCATGTTGA